ACAAGGAATTTTTCACAGAAACATTAGAAAGTAAATGTTAAATATTAAATAGTAGTTAGTAAATATTAATTATAATTAATAATTATAATTATTAGTAGTAATTAGCAAATATTAAGCACTTTACTTAATAATTAGATTTTGGACAAATTTCCAAATAAACAAACATTGATTAAAATATAATTTTGTCACCTCTTTCATCAAAAGTTTTCACATCCCTGGTTTAATTATCACCCCTTTTACCTTTCTATTCTTTTGTCTGTGGGGATTTTGGAGAGATTAGGCAGGGAGCACGTATGGCCAGAACCATTATTCACAGACATTAAAAGTCTCAAACTGACAACTTCTCATAAGTGAAAGACAATCTGCAGGCAAAAGGGAGCAAGAAAATGAGTATCTTGAGGACAGATTTGATCTCATCCTGCTCGGAACAATCACAGCCCTGGTAAAGAGGCTTTCTGTTTTTAGAAAAAGGACCCTCTTGGCCTGAGGGAAGGCAGAGTGTTTCTCTCTTCTCATTTCCCATGAAACTGATCTCCCAGAGTAGTGGTTACTTTTTTACTCACAGGGGTTTGGCCACAATCAACACTACCCTCATTTTACCAGACCCGACTTTTACTCATATTAAACTGCTGGTTGCCTGTCTATGATGGATTTCATGATCAAACTGCTCCCAAGTCTTTCACTCCTTTCAGAAGTTTCCCTTGGCTCTGGTCTGCTGGTGGTACTCCTTCAAGTGTTCCAGGGTTAATGCCAATTTAATCTTACTCTGTCTTTAAATCCTTCAAAAGTTCTTTGCTTTATTTTGCAGTGCCTTCATCTGAGTCTGTTCAGTTTCATTGGCAGATGCTCAAATCTGTTAATGTTCTCTTGATAGTGTGGTAACCAGAATTGTGTGAAATACTCATCTTGTTCTGCGCAGATGACAATGGGATTTTCTTTCTTATCTGAATATTATATTATTATTGTTATTGATCTAAAGCCACTGACTCTTGGTAATTCTGCTTGAAGTAGACAAAGATAACCTTACTTCATTTTCCATGTTCTAGGTTGATATTTTGTAGGTCTGATTTTATTTTTAATTTCACCAGCCAAGGCAATTATCTCCACATCCTACCACATTCTCCTCTTGATCTGATGCTCACTGTCAGCAAGGACATCGGAAGCTCAGCCTAGCGGAGTTGATGTGATTGTTTCTGCTTAAATAATGACTCAGCTGCTTTTACACAAAGGCTCTAATGAACTCCAAAGTCTGACAGATTTATTGTGAGATCAGTTTCTCTGTCAAGTAAATTTCTCCTCTATTTTACAGTCCTCATTTTTTACTGAAGCTAGGATTAATGTAATTGACTACAAAGGGTGACAAAGCGCAGATTATGGAAGAAAGAAGCATGTTCATTTCCTTCTCTAAACAGAAGGACAGCACAGGTTAGCTTTCTGTGGGGAGTCTGGACCCTCAGTCCTGCATCTGGCCTCCAGAGGGTGATGTTGA